CTGAGTTAGGAAATCGTTTGAACAAAAGTAAGAAAATATATAAAATACTATTAATGATACTACATCTATTGAACAAACTAAGTTAGAAAATCTGTAGAATATACAGAGGGCTTAGAAATCTGTTGAACAAACAAAGTAAGGACATTTTTTGAACGAACTAAGAACTATAAAACAGGTCGGACAAACTAAGTTAGGAAATCTCTTGAACAAACTAAGTTATATAATCTGTTGAACAAACTAAGAGCGAGAAAAACGGTTAAACAAACTAAGAGCGAGAAAAACGGTTAAACAAACTAAGAGATAAGAAATTTGTTCAAGTTAGGAAATCTGTTGAATAAACTAAGAGCTAAGGAATCTCTTTAGCAAACTAAGTTCGGAAATCTCTTTAGCAAACTTAGTTCGGAAATCTTTTGAACAAACTAACATAAGAAATTTGCAGAATAAATTCAGAGCTATGAAATAAGTTTAACAAACTATCTTAGTAAATCTTCAGAATAAACAGAGAACTAGAAAATCTGTTGAACAAACTAAGTTAGGAAATTTGCACAATGAACTGAGACTTAAGAAATCTGTTGAACAAACTAAGTTAGAAAATGTGCAGAATAAACTCAGACGTAAGAAAATTGTTGAACGAACTAAGTTAAGAAATCAGGTGAAGACACTAATTTAGGAAACCTGTTGAACAAACTAAGTAGGAAATCTGTTGAACAATCTAAGTTAGAAAATCTCTTAAACAAACTATGAGCTAAAAAATCTGTTCAAAACTAAGTTAAAAAATCAGGTCACAAAACTAATTTATGAAACCTTTTGAACAAACAAAGTTAAGTAATCTGCAGAATAAACTAAGAGCTTAAAAAATAAATTTAACAAACTAAGTTTGGAAAGCTGTTGAACAAACTACTAAATAAGGAAATTTGCAGAATAATTCAGACATAAAAATATGTTATCTAACTAAGTTAGGAAATTTGTAGAATAAACTGAGAGTTAAGAAAATTGTTGAACAAACATATTTAGGAAATCTGTCGAACAAACTAAGTTATATAATATCTTGAACAAACTAAGAGCTAGGAAATCGGTAGGACAAACTAAGTTGGGAAATTTGTTGAACAAACTAATTTATGAAATCTGGAAAATAATCTGAGAGTTAAGAAGTATATTGAACAAACCGAGTCAGGAAATCTGTTGAATAGGGTAATTTATGGAGTTTGTTGAAAAATTAAGCTAGGAAATCTGCAGCGTAAACTTAGGGCTATGAATGAATTGTGTCTATTGAAAAATGTAATTAGGATATCTGTTGAACAAACTACACCATGACGTCTATTGCACAATGTAATTAGGAAATCTACTGAACAAAATAAATTACGAAATCTGTTGAACAAACTATGTTAGGAAAGTTGCAGAATAAATTGAGAGCTAAGAAATATGTTAAAGTAAGTTAAGAAATCTGTAGAATAAACTTATGGAGAGGAAATCTGTTGAAAAACAAATTTATAATTTTGTTCAACAAACTAAATTAGATAATAAGTTGAACAAACAAAGAGCTAGAAAATCGGTTTACAAGTTAAGTTAGAAAATCTGTAAACCTGCAGAAAAAACGGACAGCAAAGAAATATATTAAACAAACTAAGTTAGAAAATTTGCAGAATAAACTCAGACGTAAGAAAATTGTTGAACGAACTAAGTTAAGAAATCAGGTGAAGACACTAATTTAGGAAACCTGTTGAACAGACTAAGTAGGAAATCTGTTGAACAATCTAAGTTAGAAAAAATTCTTAAACAAACTATGAGCTAAGAAATCTGTCTGACACAAAGTTAAAAATCAGGTGAAAAACTAATTTAGTAAACCTGTTAAACAAACAAAGTTAGTGAATCTGCAGAATAAACTGAGAGCTAAGAAATATATTGAACAAACTAAATTAGAAAATCTGTAGAATTAAATGAGAGCTAAGGAATCTTTTGAACAAACTAAGTTAGGAAATCTGAAGAATAAACTTAAAGATAGGAAATCTGTAAAATAAACTTAAAGATAGGAAATCTGTAAAATAAACTTAAAGATAGGAAATCTGTAAAATAAAATAAAAAGTTAGGAAATCTGTAGAATAAACTTAAAGATAGGAAATCTGTAAAATAAACTTAAAGATAGGAAATCTGTAGAATAAACTCAAGGACAGGAAATCTGTTGAACAAACTAAGAGCTAGAAAATCGAATTGAGCAACGTTAGAAAATCTCTTGAACAAACCAAGAGCTAATGAGTCTCTTGAACAAGCTAAGTTAAGAAATCTACAGGGTAAATCGGGACCTAAGAAAACTGTTGAAAACTGAGTTAAGAAATCTGTTGAACAATCTAAGTTAAGAAATTTACAGGGTAAACCGGGACCTAAGAAAACTGTTGAAAACTGAGTTAAGAAATCTGTTGAACAATCTAAGTTAAGAAATCTGAAGAATAAATTGAGACCTAAGAAAACTGTTGAACAAACTAAGTTAGAAAATCTGTTGGTCAAACTAAGTTAGGAAATTTGTAGAATAAACTGAGAACTAAGAAATCTATTGAACAAACTAATTTTGGAAATTTACAAAATAAACTGAGAGCTAATAAATTTGTTGAACAAACTAAGTTATGAAATCTGTTGAAAAAATTAATTATGAATTATGTTCAACAAAGTTACGAATTGTATAGAATAAACTGAGAATTAAGAAAACTGTTGAAAAGACTAAATTATGAAACCAGCAGAGTAAACTAAGAGCTAATAAACAAAGTAAAATAGGAAATGTGTTGAACAAAGTAAATTAGGAAATATGTTGAACAAACTAAGTTAGGAAATACATTGAACAAAGTAAGTCAGGAAATATTTTGTACAGACTAAGTTCGGAAATCTGTCTTAGTTTGGGATCCTTCGGAAATATACTAAGTTAGTATATCTGCAAAATAAACAAGTTACATTCCCTGAATGGAATTAGCCATATTTTGGGTAGGTATAGTTTAATGTACCGAGATGAAAATAAGATGGAAACTGGATAATTGTTATATGAATTAATCAAAGTCCCTCTTGAATTTGTATTGTTAAGTTAATATGAACAGACCAATATTATTCCATGTAATTGCAAAACATAATAAGTGTTTTTTTTTTCCGTTATGGACAATTCATCCAGCCAAAGTATATCTTTGAAGGTCCTTGAAACACTTTATTTAAATGTAATATAAGCCTTTTACTATTTTTAGGTTGAATTTATTTACATTTAGCTGACCGAACTTCGTTTCCAAGTATTGTTGTTTCTGTAGCAAAAAAACATAAAAGTCTTAAGACTGAGTAATCAACATTGTCTACGTCACTCAGATACACGTTAAAACAACTATTCCAAAAGAAACCTCAAGACGTTTTAAGTTATAGAATAATTTAATTTACATTTACATTTAAATAATAAGATATATATTCAATAATAAAAATAAACTTAACAGTTGATAAATAAAGACAGGTTTGGTGAGCAAAGCTACACAAAAATCTCTTGCTCAAGTCATCCTTAATTTTGAGCCGACAGATGGGAGGGAAGGCAGCTAGTCAACAGCAACCATCGCCATGATGGACTAGAAGGAATGTAACTAGTCAACAGCAACTATCGCCATGATGCACTAGAAGGAAGGCAACTAGTCAACATCATCCATCGTCAGCTTTTGGGCTACTGTAATCGAAATTTGTAATTTAACTGTCTCTATAACAATGCACTCATTGTCCCAAAGTACAAAGTGAGATTTTTCGTCAACGAGACACGAACCTGAACCCTCACATCGATAGTCCGGTACGCTTACAATCAGGCCATGCTCGATCCGAAAATATATAGAGAACATTGTACAAACATAATAACCAGTAAAGAAGATTTTAAATAATTCTATAAACCAAAATAAATTTAAAATATACATTATTGTAAAACGATGTATAAAAATTATTATCGATATTTCAATTGTAACCTCTTTAAGGTAATTTTTATTGAATGCCCTCATGCTCATATTGACACAAATAAAATACGACGTTCTTTTATAAAAGAATGAAATGTAATTTAACTCTTAAATATTACAAAAAGTAGAAATAATATGCTCACTCCTCTCAGAAGTGATTGGATTGTGCATGACAGCATTCGACTTATTAGTTACAGGATAAGTTCAACTTTCCCAAATGATTGTTTTGTGAGAAATGTTAGAGCATTACTTTTTTATTGGTTATCATCAAACTTTGCATATTTAGAAATGTAATTTGATAAGCTATATGATTGCTGTGATAAATGCATATAGATTCTATTTAAGTTAGTCCTACGTTAGGCATAAAATTATTTCTCTTGGTATCTTGTAAACCTTTATTTCCTCGCAATATATTGTCTATATTCTGACTTGTTTTCATTTTCATTGTAATGTACCATATCTGTACTCGTAAACAATTTCGAAATGGTATTACTGTTTTTAGATTTTGGTAATGGTTGACCACATTTTTTCTCTCTTACAGCTCCCCTAAACTTTGGAGGCATTAAGGCCACACACACATTATGTTATATTCAACTTCCTCCTGGCAAAACAACAATACAGATGTCTGGAAACGGTTACATTAAGAAACATAGGCTACTACTTTATATTAGATTTATGGCATTGACTGGGTGACGTTCAGTAAAAGAAAGTGATGTTTAAAAGTTTTCGAATGAGCTTATTTATGTACAAATAATCCTTTTCGTACATAAATCTAGAAAAAAAGCTTTACAACACTTAACTCCTACAAAAACTCACAACCTTTAAACATTCTGAAATAGATGAAAATAACTTTGTAAGCGTAAGTTAACTTTCAACGAAACGCAATAGTTTTAAAACAATAAATGTTTAAACATAATTATTCAGATTTATTCTGAATCTTATCACCGAATGCAAGTAACTTTCATGTCCAATTGCCATATGTATGCTCATATAAGAAATATTTATTCATTATTTACGCAGAGAATTCAGTATAACAGCAGAACTTACCTCCAGAGAACGCTGTCAGAATATGGTAGATAACTTCTTTACTTCCTGGTGCAACAACTATGTTATCAGGATCAACTGTGAAACCATCATTCTTCTCGTGAAACCTACTGATAGTCTGTCGGAATTCCTGAAGTCCTGCTCAAGAAAATATTAAATTAAAACAAAAGGAAATTATAAAAGTCGGCTTTAAAGTTATTTTAAGTCAAAAAATTGTAACATTAGTCAGAAGTGTTGCATAATGATAACACACTGCAACATAAAATATAAATATCACACATTCGGTTTGAAGATTAATGAAATGGCTGCATACATTGTTTCTCCTCATATTCACAGACCAATGTAGAGACCAGTATGTAAGTACAGAAAAACCTGTATAGATCAGTATAGGCACATTTGTTGTAGGAACAGACGACTCGTAAGACTTCATTTGTCTCTCAAGCAAGACATTTATAGATCAGTATAGGTACCTTTATGGTAGATAAAGACTTGCGGGACCTCATTGTTTCTCAAGTGAAATGGTAAGTTAAATTATATAGAGAATGAAATAAGCGTCCTTTTCAGGACGATAAAAGTTTTTAAAGTAAATTAGATAATATGTCTAGTAATATGACGTAATAGTTGCCTCTTTAAAATATTGGCTTTACATAGGACATATGCAAGGACCATATTCATCTGTGTGTGGACAGTATTGTATATATATTATGCTTATTACCGTTGTCGACATGTGTAGAAATGAAAACAGTTATCTAAATTTGGATACCACAAACATATTAATGATATCCTTTCCCTAGTTACTAAATATATAGGTGATACTCTTTCCATAGTTACTAAATACATACGTAATACTCTTTCCCTAGTTACTAAATACATACGTGATACTCTTTCCCTAGTTACTTAATATATACGAGATAGTCTTTCCCTAGTTACTAAATATTTACGTGATACTCTTTCCCTAGTTACTAAATATATACGTGATACTCATTCCTTAGTTACTAAATATATATGTGATACTCATCCCTTAGTTACTAAACATATACGTGATACTCTTTCCCTAGTTACTAAATATATATGTGATACTCGTTATATAGTTACTAAATAAATACGTAATAAATAAACTTAGTATTCCGAAAATCGTTTAATTTCGAAGTCTACGTCAAGAAAGGTCCAGTTTAATCTACACTTTGATCAACATGTATAATTGGGTTATACTATCTAGTGTATAGGTTTTTTTCATTGTGACTACAAAGCACGTTCACATCAACACTATGTTAAATACATACATGACACATTTTCCTTAATTTACCTTTGCTTGTTAAAAGAAGTTTAATCTCATGGTAAATTTGTCCGTTTACAATACTTGAAAACTGACGTCCGATCTTATTATTTCGCACTTTATTCCTTATCACTGCAACATATTCCAGCACTTTCAATATCTCACAACAAAATATCCCAGCACATTCAATATTTTCCAACAAAATATCCCAGCACTTTCAATATTTTACAGCAAAATATCCCAGCACTTTCAATATTTTCCAACAAAATATCCCAGCACTTTCAATATCTTCCAACAAAATATCCCAGCACTTTCAATATTTTCCAACAAAATATCCCAGCACTTTCAATATCTTCCAACAAAATATCCCAGCACTTCAATATTTTCCAACAAAATATCCCAGCATTTTCAATATTTCACAACAAAATATCTCAGCACTTTCAATATCTTCCAATAAAATATCCCAGCACTTTCAATATCTTCCAACAAAATATTCCAGCACTTTCAATATCTTCCTCAAAATATCCCAACTCTTTCAATATTTCACAACAAAATATCTCAGCACTTTCAATATCTTCCAATAAAATATCCCAGCACTTTCAATATCTTCCAACAAAATATTCCAGCACTTTCAATATTTCACAACAAAATATCTCAGCACTTTCAATATCTTCCAACAAAATATCCCAGAACTTTCAATATCTTCCAATAAAATATCCCAGCACTTTAAATGTATTCCAAGAAAGTCATTACGTTTTTGAGTCCGCTAAAAGAAAAAAGATAGTAGGCGGACACACTGAAGATCCATTTACATGTGCTAAGAGATGTCCCGGATGTGACAAAAACCAGCACATGTGAAGTGGCTGATTGATGCACACCAACAACATTAATGACCCTGAACTGATTAAATCTATATTCCGAATGACTGGAGTTATGTACTTTTCAGCAATTCTCGTGCCATAGTAGTATAAAACGTGTAAAAAAACTGTTGCTTAAAACGTTTTTTTATTTTATTTTTTTCGGAAGGTGGAGTAGGCCATGTTAATTTCAAATATAAAGGGTTTGTTTGTTGTTAAGCACAAAGCTACACAGTGAGCTATTTGTGCTCTGCCACGACGGGTGTAGAAGCCCAGTTCTTAGTGTTATAAGCCTACAAACTGAAAGTCTTATTTTTTCATTTCCTTTTACATGATGGCGTTTGATGGATTTGCCTTTTTACTTCTTCAGATCTCATTTAACATAAGAACGATTACAGCAGAGGGCTGAAGAAGTGAAAAAAGTAAATATACGATGTGTAACCAAGAAATAATAATGTAAAAAGAAGACTGTACAGAATAAACGGTGTATCTTGAAAAATGCAGTTATTGCCAGCTGTTTTAGCACTTAAGTCATATTCATTGTCTCAGATTGATCGAGAGTAACTAGTAAACGTAAGTTATGAAACTTATTGAAGTGACACCAAGTGTCTGTAAGATAAAGTATTTAACTTGACCTTCACTACGAAAGTTATAGATTGATCGAGAGTAACTAGTAAACGTAAGTTATGAAACTTATTGAAGTGACACCAAGTGTCTGTAAGATAAAGTATTTAACTTGACCTTCACTACGAAAGTTATAGGTGTGACTGATTGTCAGTGTACCAAAAGACAGGAATAGAGAAGTCTGATGGTTAGTAAGAGGAGGAGAGAACTAGAGAAATAATTTGTTGTTTGTTTGTTATGAATTTCGTTAAAAGCTTAGTGATGGCTATCTGCTATAGCCGTCCCTAATTTAGCAGTGTAATACTAGAGGGAAGGCAGCTAGTCATTACCACCCACCCCTCCAACTCTTGTGCTACTCTTTTACCAACGAATAGTGGGGTTGACCATAACATTATAACACTCCCACGGCTGAAAGGACCAGCATGGTCGGTGAGACGGGGGTTCAAACCCGCGACTCGTAGATTGCGCCCCAACCACTTGGCCATACAGGGCAGGAATAATTTAAAACAAAGAAAAGTACAGAAGTTGTTCTAGCGCAAAACTACACAAGGACCTATCTGATGTCTATCCACCTGAGGGAATCGAAATCCGGATTTTAGCATTGAAAGACCATAACTTACTTCTGACCCTGACCCACCGGAGGTCAAGTTCAAAAGTAAAAATTATACTGAAGTAGCATAGGATAAAAAGTATAAAGATTAGAAAGACATTTTAATTAACATAAAAAACTAATAATTTCACAAAAAATATTTATAATACAAATTATCATAAAAGGGTTATGGAAAGATAATTAAAATATTGCCCCCAGTGGCTTAGCTATAAGCTATAAGTATGAATGCTTATAACACTAAAAAACCGGGTTTCGATACCTGAGCACAGCACATATAGCCCATTGTTTAGCTTTGTTCTTAATAACAACGAAAGAAAATAATTAAAATAAACATAATGACGTTAAAATTTAAAAATAAAAATTAGATTAGAAATAAAATAGTTACTAAACTGTATTAAAAAGCTCAGAGATAATTACAAGTGACTGTTACCTGCATTGTACTAATACTTTCTTCCTATAAACGTTCTACATGATGAAAGATAAAGAATTCTTAAAGCTGTTCCAGATTTATCCAATCCACTCAAGTATCGAAACATTTTTAAATCCAGCCAGACTGGTTTTATTCTTAAATAATTTTGTATTTACCAAGGAATATTCCAATCAGATAAATGGTACTGTCATGGGCACCAAGATGGCTCCTGTCTTTAATAACATATTTAATGTAATAATGGGACTCAGCTGTGACAGAAAAGCACTCTAAAAGCTCGTATTTAAAAACGCTACTTTAATCACATTTTCATCATTTTGATAGATGAAGACGAGTAACTTGAAAACTTTTATACCAATTTTTATAAAGTTTGAACTTGATTACTACCCTATCCATGTAATTCCTTCTTGACGTTACTGTCTAGTTAAATGACGGCTATTTTCATACTGATTAAGCCAGTAAAACAACTGACAGATCATAATCTGGTAGACAATGATTTATATGTATATTTACGTAATTTATTTCTGGGAGAACACACTACATGTTTAGACACAGTATTGGTCTGAAGCATAGTGTGCTTTCTTACTCAAGACAACAATATCTTCACTACAAAAGCTGCCACCCCTGCAGTAAAAAAAAAATGTAGTGATGAAAGCAGTTACTAAAACACACAAAGGCTCTAAAACAAACGATAATAAAATGAGGTTACCAAGACATTGATGTGAGTAGATGAAATTGTAACAACACTAGCCGAATCTTAAACAAAAACTACTCTTAAACACTTCTAAAGAGAAAAAAAAACAGAATTCCTCTTGTTTCGTGATGTCACTTCAAACTCAAGGACGTCTCACTTATTCTAAAAAAATATTTCTATTTAATCTAACTCAACAATCATTTAAAACATTTTTTCCTAAAGATTGTTGTCGTTTCCTTCCCGGAAAATAGAAATCTCAAAGATATCCTAGTTCATCCTGTAGTTAATTACACTCCACCATAGATTGATATCCTTTTAGTTCATGAAACCAACACTTTTCCAACAAGCATAATCAAAAATACTTTCTTATAAAACACATTTTGTCTCACGCACTGTAAAACATTTCACCATTAGTATGTTGAAGAAATACCAAAAGCTCTTAGAGAGAGAGTTTAGGCAACCATAAATCTTCTGCCAACACCAAGAAACATATTTTATCCAATCTAGTCATGATTCTCTTAGATATCGAAACTGTGTGCTATGATGGTGATCTGTTATAAATCTCCAAGGTGATTTGGGAAGCTCTATCTTCTGTTACAAGTCTCCAAGGTGATTTTGGGTGCTCTGTTTTCATATTTTATAATAATTTT